TTAACAGTAAACGCTACTAAAACTAAAATAGTTGTTTTTACGAAATCCGGAAGGTCAAGGGCTAAAAAATTGAAATATTTTGGTTTTGGTAAAGAACGAATTGAAGTTGTAAGCCGGTACGAATATCTAGGTGTTATTTTTTCAAATTCATGCGTTTTTGAAGAGCAGGCAATTAAAGCGATAACTAGCGCGGGTCTAGCGGCCGGGGGGACTTTAAGAACTATTTTCTCCTTGGGTGCGGATTCCTGGAGCACTTACGTAAAACTTTTTCAAAGTTTAGCGATCAGTGTTCTGTTCTACGGTATTCAGATTTGGGGGATCCGATATTTAGAGGAAATAGAAAGAGTGCAGCTGGCGTTTTTCAAGAAGCTTTTGCTGCTTCCAATAAATACCCCGGGTTACGCAGTCAGGCTTGAGACGGGATCCTTACACCTTGCTCATAGGGTTCTGGGTTTAACACTGAGCTGGATACAAAAAATTTCCAGTATGCATTCATCCAGATATCCCAGCCTGTGTTTTAATGAACTTAGAGCTCTGGCATTAAGGAGCCCGTCGAATGGCTTCAACTGGTTCACGCAGTTAAAGGTTTTTTTTGAGCAGGATGATATGATTCATTTTTGGTCGGATCTCTCATTGAATAGCGTGAACACGTCTAGGAACCTTATCCTGGAGAAGTATGGTCACTCTTTGCGAGTAATGGATGATAAGCGTGTTGTATCGTCAAGCAGTCTTTGCATTTATCCTTCTCTCCCCATACGATTGGGTGCGCAGCCATACCTAAAAGCCAGAAACTTGCTATCTTGTAAGAGAACATTTGCTCAAATTAGATTATGTAATAAGTATGTCAATAGAATAATAACAGATAATTTTGTGTATAAATTCGAAAATAATATGATTTGCGCTGCTTGTAGAAGAGAGTTAGACTCTCTATATCATATTTTACTGGACTGTCCTTCATGCTCTCATATTTGTGAATATCACTTCCCGATTCTTTTAGAAAAAACTGATCGAACCGAAGCTTGGAGTGAGATTTTGTCATCGGAAGATTCTAATGTAATTAAAAGATTCGTACGTATGATTGTGGAGATCCTGGGTGAGCGTATCTCTAGATTCTAGAAGTTGAATGTTTTGCGAACAAGAGAGGCTTGTGATTCAAATTTTATTTCGTAGCCATATTTTTGTTTATTGTTTCTTATTTTTTAATCGCTCTGATGTATTGTAATATAATGAGACTTCACTTGTATAAACCAATAGGTTATGAAACGAGTTAATAAATATAGATACTTAATAAATATTAAAGCAAAACAAATGAAAAATGTCTGAGAAGAAAATAATTGATCTAATTGAGACCAGAAGTGGAGATTTCTTTGTAGATTGAGTCAAAAGTTACAATCAAACGACATTGATTGAAAATTGGATTCAGTGCAGTATTTGAAATTTTTAGCTACATGAAAACTGCACTGAATCCCATGATAAATGTTCAAAATGTGACCAGAATAACAGAAAAGTAATTTGAACGATTATAAATTAAGTTTAAGCCAAAAGTAAAAAATTATAAGAATTGGCCATCTTCCCCGGACATTCCGGGAGAGATGGCCAAATGCACTTTTTACAAAATGTAAATTTTGAGATTGTTCCTATGAAAATATTTTATTTTATTTTTCATTACTTTAAAGTTAAGTGTTCAATGTTTAATTATTATCAATAAAAGTTTAGACATAAATCGCTTTTTTATAATTTGTACAGTACTTTAAAAAAACTATGGTCATCTCCCCCGGACTTACACTATGAGAAAAGTCATTGTTTAGCATTCATGTGATACATTTGTTCAACTGCATTAAATGGCATGCAACTTATTCTCTTTGTTGCTTATTGGATAGCATTGGATGGCATTAAACATAAACATACTTTAAACGGCATTAAATGGCATTCAGTACACCCCACACATAAGCTCTTGAATAATATTAATTGGCATTGACTTGCACTTCTTTTATAATTATAATTCTCAATAAGCAAAAAATTCTAACATTAAATATTATATAATTATTATAATTTGCAATATATAACCGCAATATGGGAAGTTACTTAGTGACTATGTCTATACTGGATTTTGTCATAAATGTTGAAAACAATTTTTAAAATGTTTTCAAGATGAATGATTTTGTGACATTCTTTACTGTCCCTTTAGATCATTAAAATTCATTGCGACCAACTATATAGCTAGCTATTATAGATAACACAAGCCTGCAAAAAAATAAAAATTTCCGTTGTCTGAGATCGAGAAGTTATTTCCCGCAGTATTTGGTGCGCTGAATCCGAATCTGACAACGAAAACCTCCCATCACGTCAGGATCTTGAGAAAAGTGGTGGTAAATTCATAAAAATCATGTTTTTCGCTGTTTTTGTAAATTTCTATCGGGTAAATCCGACGTGCTAGAGACTTTTCATAGGAGTCAAATTAAAGCCTGAACCCTGTACTTTAAGAAAATAAAGCGATATTGCTGACAACAAACTAAATTAGCCGTCAAAAATGATTTTTTTAACAGTTGTCAAGTATAAAAATTGACTAACACTGACCGCAAATAAAACTATTTTAAAAAGTGATTGGATTCGCTTAGAATTTATTGCTTTGGGGTTTTCGGGGTCGTTGCTTACAAATATGATGTCAAAATAAAAAATCTGTAGTTGGATTCATAATCAACGACCCCAAAAACCCCCGAGTAACAAGTTTCAAGTGAATTTGATCCATTTTGAAAAATAAGTCCGCCATATTGGATCCGATATTTTGAACTTTAATAATCTGACAACATATTCGTAATCAGCGACCCCAAAAACCCTTGAGTAACAAATTTTAAGCGAATTCAATCATTTTTCAAATAGTTTTATTTGCGGTCAGTGTTAGTCAATTTTTATACTTGACAACTGTTAAAAAAATCATTTTTGAAGGCTAATTTAGTTTGTTGTTAGCAATATCGCTATATCTTCTTAAAGTACAGGGTTCAGGCTTTAATTTGACTCCTATGACAAGTCTCTAGCACGTCTGATTTACCCGGTAGAGATTTACAAAAACAGAGAAAAACATGATTTTTTGGAAATTTACCCCCACTTTTCTCAAAATCCTGACGTGATGGGAGGTTTTCGTTGCCAGATTCGGATTCAGCGCACCAAATACTAAGGGAAATGACTTCTCGATCTCAGACAACGGAAATTTTTATTTTTTTGTAGGCTTGTGTAATTATTGCGTGAAAACCGTGATTTTATAATAAAAACTTAATTCCTTATTGTATTTGTTTAATATTCTCAATTACTCATAAATCTATGCTTTTATACTCTTTTCAATGTTTTATTACTAAAAGCTATTAAATAAGTTTATGAGTTATTTAAATTTAATTTTCGCAATATTTTATGCTGAAGATTTCATAAACTTCCTTATTAAAAAAGTGCAATGTGCTTGTAAAATAAAAGAGCGGAACCGCTAGAGAATGGTAATGTATTATCATTTATTTTAGATATATTTTAATATAACTAATTAATTTATTGGCAATGATTATGTTCGTTTGATAATAATTTTAAAATCTTTCATAAAGTTCATTTAAAGATTCAATAAAATTTTTTACAAAACACAAAAATATCTGTATAACTTTAAAAATGTCTCAAAAAATTATTTTAAAAAAAAATATTTTTAGGGGTTTTTATTAGAGTTTTGTTAGCTCCTTATCGAGTTTCATAATAAATTTTAATAATATTAATTTCTAAACATAAAGAAGAAACAGCAGCGAGATTAATTATTTATATTTATTGCAGTGTGATCTGAAGTCTAACGAAAATAGGTTCCATGGACAATGCAAAAATTATTACAGGAGATGTTTATTGTAATTATCTAATTTTTTTTAATTTTATAAATACTTTGAGGGCATTTCAACTATTAAAACGTCACAGTTTCTTAATGTGTGACGTCAAAATTTTGACACTAAAATTACAATAAATAATCAGTCAAACTTAACTGATTAATTACCGTATATACGCTTTTTTAAAATAGTTGTATACTTACCGCTGTGATATAGTGAAATTTCGACAATTCAAAATTAGATAGTAACCACACGTGAAAGAAAATGTGACTGTAGAATTGAATTTTTTTGTCGATTTCGTAATTACAGCTGTAAATAATCCTTTCCGATCGAAATAAAAAATTGTAAATACAAGCTGTTACTCGTGTTTCCGGCTTTTCAGGTTATAATATTGACAGTGCCGACCGTGATAATACCTAAATGTGACAGTAAAATTTTTTTATACGCGCTTTCGTGATTACAGGTGTAAATAATTATTACCGATCAAAAAAAGAAATTGTGTGTAGTAGTTGCGATACGAGGCGTGATAAATAAAATCCGTGATTAAAAAGGACTTTAAAAAATTACATTTATTTGAATAAAAATAGTCGTCTTTTTTATTACATGGTTCTGTGGAGACTACCCCCTTCTTATCAATTTCCCCATCATTCCTCACATTAATCACATGGTTTCTCCCACGAAATCATTTCAATTTTGAACATACTCCCCTCCTTGAGATGAACTCACAATACAGTAAATAGAAAAAATGTCATCTCAACGTCAACAAATATAAATAAAAAACGATGTATCAGTCACATAACAATAAAATTACTCAACATCTTGATCATTCTCAGCCGGTAGAATACATATCTTCGTCAATGCTCTCTTCAACACACTCGTGCTAGTCCTAATACTAACATCTCTCACCAAATCATCCGCTCCAGGATGCAACTCTACAATGCGACCCAACATCCATCGCAAAGGCGGAAGGTTGTCGTCTTTAATTACCACCATTTGGCCAATTCGCACACAATCATTTTGCCTTCGCCATTTCGCTCTCGATTGCAACTGCGTGACGTACTCAGACGACCATCTTTTCCAAAACGATTGTTGAATCTGCATAATTAATTGAAAACGATTTAAACGATTTACGTTAATGTCCTGAACGTCCTCCTACAGAACGGAATTCATAGCTGTACCAATCAGAAAATGTCCCGGAGTGAGGACATTCAGGTCTTGCACATCTGAAGAAAAAGGACACAAAGGTCTTGAATTCAAAATTGCTTCGATTTGAGTAATAACCGTATAAAATTCCTCGAAGGTCAAAGGTGTGTCGTTGAGTACAGATTTTAAATGAGATCTGGCAGATTTCACTGCTGCCTCCCATAATCCTCCCATGTGAGGAGCTTGCGGTGGAATAAAATTCCACTTTATTGAATTAGTTGCCACGAAGTCGAGAATTTTGGACCTGCTTCCAGACTCTGAGAACAATGCCTGGACGATTCTACGCAACTCATTACTTGCCCAGACGAAATTTTTGCCATTATCCGATGACAAGGAAATGCATTTTCCTTGTCGTGCAACGAACCTTTTTAATGAATTTAGAAACCCATTCGTTGTCAGGTCTGGAACCAGCTCCAAATGCACTGCCTTAGTTGCCATGCATACGAACAAACAGAGATATGCCTTACTCGTCTTATTTCTAGAAATCTTAATCGCAAACGGTCCAGCATAATCTAATCCCGTGTGAGCAAAAACTCGTGAGGGAGTTACTCGCTCTTTCGGTAATTCACCCATCAATTGCGTCGGACATGTTGGCTTTAACCTGAAGCATAAAATACACTTTCTTAAAACATTACGAATCGCACTTCTACCTGACAAAATCCAATACATTTCTCTCAAGGTCGCAAACAATAATGACATTCCAGCATGTAGGTTTCTGTAATGAAAATCTCGAATGATTAATTTTGTCAGCACATGATTAGGAGAAAGGATGATTGGAAAGCGTTGGGAATAGGATAAAGGTGCGTGATTCAGACGACCCCCCACTTAAATCAATCCTTCCTCGTCTCGAAATGGATTCAGCGGTGCCAATCTGCTCTTGACGTTGACTAGTTTGTTTTTCTGAAGATCCGTACATTCCGTTCTAAATGCTTCTTGTTGATGCAACAAAATCAGGGATTTTCTTGCCTTGTTTAATTCCTCAGCCGTCAATGGATCGATGATGATTTTTTCTCCCTTCATTTTTCTCTGCAAATTTTCCTTGAATCTAAAGCAATAGGACGTCACTCTGATCAATCTATTCCAAGAAAAAAAAATCTTGTAAAGATTGAAAAATCCATCTCCGTCACCACGAAGTTTAAGGTCATTTTTTTACTTTCAGGGACCTCCTCCATGATGATATCATTCTGCGGCCATTCACATTCATCCTTGGACAACCATAAAGGTCCATTCCACCATAATTGCGAAAGTTGCAATTCACCAGCATCCATCCCCCTGGATATTAAGTCTGCTGGGTTTTGTTCAGAAGCGACATTACCGGCCAAAATTGTCAGTCCACCCATTTTTGAAGGAATGAAAAAAATTTTTTAACATAAAATTTATGAAAACTCAAATTTTTTTTGGTTTATATTTTGAAAGACGATAAAATTTTGAAAAGAATAAGACCTCACAGAAGTCATTTGGCAAATATTTTTTCAAGATATTCTTAAAAAATCGTCATTTTCAATGTTTTACAAAAATTTGAATAACTTCTAAAATAATGAACGCTTTTTAATAATCTTAGGCTTATTTTAAAGGTCATTTTCTACAGAATAAGAATTATTTATAGGCATTAACCTGTAATTTTTTTCTTGAAATAAGCATGACGTCAAAGTTTTTGTGAAACATTGAAGATGACGATTTTTTAAAATATCTTCTACAAATTTTGGCCAAATGACTTCTGTAAGGTCTTATTCTCTTCAAAATTTGATCGTCTTTTAAAATATAAACCAAAAAAAAATTTAGTTTTTATGAATTTTATGTTAACAAATTTTTTTCATTCCTTAAAAAATGGGTGGACTGACAATTTCGGACGGTACTGCGACGTGCTTCCAATTTTCCGCAGGTGTTGATCGTTGGATTTCTGCCACTCTGTTGCCCACAAACGTATGCCATCTTGCTGCATCTCCCTGAATTCATGCCAATGCTATTGTGGAATCACTCCAGAACCGAGCATCCTCCATTTTTAAGTTGAGTGCTTTTTTAACCTTTACATAAAGATTTGCCAACAGCAATGCTCCACAAAGTTCCAAGCGAGGAAGACTGACCGACTTGATCGGCGCCACTCGTGATCTTGCGCAGAGTAAGCGTGCTTGAATTTCTCCATTCCTTCCCACAGATCGTACGTATAAGCAGGCCCCATATGCTGCCTCCGATGCATCACTGAATCCATGGAGTTGTATGCTTATTGGATCACAACCCACAACATGTCGAGGAATCACAAGCTGATTAATCCCCTGGATTTGTTTGCAATAGTGATCCCATTTTATGCTTAAATCAGTTGGAATGGAAGTATCCCACCCAATTTTTAACTTCCAAAGCAGCTGCAGCAAAATCTTTGATCTCACAGTAAGCGGTCCGATCAATCCGAGCGGATCGAAGATTTGAGCTATGGCTGATAACAATGATCGTTTTGTCAAATTCGACGAGTTGATTTCACAGCCTGTATGATAATTCAGCTGATCAGTTCCAGGATTCCACCGCAAAAAAAACGATACGTTTCCATGGGCTGATGGTCTTCCTCCACAAGATGCACTGAAGATTGCGTTGATCAGGATTCAACCAAATCTGGCGGTACATCTTGATGATGTCACCAGTAAGTACGAAACGATGTTGTCTGAAACGCAAGATTATTTTAAACAATTCATGCTGCACAATTGGTCCAGCCATGACACAGTCATTCAAAGTCAATCCTGATCCCGTCTTCCGCGAGCCATCAATAACCACCCTGCATTTTGTTGTTGTGCTGGACTCTTTGAAAACAGCATGGTGCGGCAAGTACTTAAATATGCATTCAATTTAAATATTCAATTCCTCCTCGGTGACCGGAGACATGTGACCCAAGGCCAGATATTCATCCAAAAATGCATGATATCTCTCCTTCAATACAGGATCTTTTACAAAACGGCGTTCCATATATAATAAGCTCTTATTCGCGCTAGTTACTGACTCTCCGAGCTCCGCAGGATCAGTCTATAACATGAGATCCACCTGAAAACGACCATCAGATGTTTTTTTGCAAGTATTTTGAAATAATTCTTCACATTGAATCTCCAGCGCCGACGATGGATTTGCAGATTCCTCCTCATTGATTTTCCAGAATCTCTCTAGTTGATCATTCAGCATAGCATTAGTGATCAATCCACAAAACTCCGGTGATGATTGGACATGATCACCTGATCCAGATCTCGTTACTTGTCCGCCAAGAATCCAACCAAACTTTGTTCGTTGCAATACTGGATGCGATTTACCCTGCTTCAGTTGTTCCGGTTCCAAACAATCCCAGAAAATGGTCGTGCCCAAAAGGAGATCAACGGCTTGAGGAATATGATAATCAGGATCGGCCAACAAAATGTGCTCTGGAATATAAATATCATTTTTACTAACTCGTTTCATAGGAATACATTGTGATATATCATTCGTTACAAAAAAATCGGTTTTGATTTTATACGTATTTTGCGTTGAGCGTACAATTGTTGCCGTTCGCGCTAATATTGTTGTTTGCGTTAGATCTACCCCCGAAATTGTATGAGATGTTACATGTTCCTTTAAGTTAAGTTTTTTACATAAATTTTTTGTTATAAAATTCGACATTTATCCATTATCCGAAAGCGCTCTAGCTTTAATTAATTCCCCGGAATTATTTTTTATATACACTACTGCAGTTGACAATAACTTTTCACTCCGATCGCGATAAGCAAACATTGTCAGTGATGTTGGTGAAACTTCGCGCTCTACATTTTTTCTGTCATCACACGCGTTTCGATTAGTACCACTCATACTCATTGTTCCTGAATGATTAATATGTAAAAGCGAATGATGTTTTCCCGAGCAAATTTTACAAAAACGCGTAGATTTACACTCTTGAGCAGTGTGTTTCACTCCCAAACAATTAAAACATAATTTTAATTCCTTTACTTTATTTCTTTTTCATCAACCGATAAATTTCGAAATTTAAAACATGTATATGACGGGTTCCACGTCAAGTGACCCAGGTCCAAATTTTAAATGTTTGGGATCGGGTTAAAAGTTTGCACAAACAGTAGTCCTATTCGATACAATTAAAAATACCAAATATTATTTTATTTAAACAAATATAAAAACTGGAGGGGGTAAAAGTTTAAATTTTTGGTCTAACATGGAATATTTGAAAAATTTGTAGTTTCATTAAAACAAAACGAAAATACATTTTCTATTTTGGGTTTTTCTGCTGTTTTTCAACACTTTCTAATGGTGTAAACAAATGTAGAAAAAAAAAAATTTTGACCTTGAAAAATTAAATTAAAAAATAAAATTTCATTTTTTCATCAAATGGACAGTTTTTATTTTTTTAAAAAAAATTTTATCATAAAGGTGAGGTTTTTTCCTAAAAAAAATGTATAGGTCAAAACGTGGGACAAGAACTTTTAACTGGTCAAAATAAACATTTACTTCTGCAATCCACCGCCCCTGCACGTTGTTGGGCTGTATATTGTTTATAACAATTAAAATAAATTATTTTATGCTTTATTAATTATCTGGTGGTCATATTGGATAAATTTAAATTGATTTAGATCATGTGCATTAACGGAATAAGAAAATAAACGTCCTTTTTTAAAAAAGTGTATTAATTTGTTAACTTTGATTTAAAAAAAATTATAAATAATTAAAATCCCCAAAATCGGCCTCGAAGGATGTCTTAAGAATTTATTCCCCTTTAATTTAAGACAAAGAACACTCAAATCGGTAAAAAATTGTAAGCTATAGACATTTTTTAATAGGAAATTGTAAAAAAAATTCCACTGTGGGCCGTCCATGTAAATTTTTGACCTGGGTCACTTGACGTGGAACCCGTCATATATTCGATGATTTTCCTGACGGATTACACATACAGCTGACACGTCCCCTGACGACAAGTGAGTTAATGATCTCGACTCTTTTTTCACGTTTTGAGTTAATCTCGATCCCCGGAATTAGAAACCGTACTAGCGCTTGAAGAAACTGCCTCCAACATTTGACATCTAATTTCAATAAATTGAGATAATTTCTCTAAATTTTCAGAAACCACCTTAAACTCCCACTCCCGTTTTGTAGAATTATCTAAACGCATAGAAGCTAAGTAAATTAAAAGAGTGTCCCACTTCTCGACAGGTTCCTTCAGCTGCTCTAACACCCGCGTGTGTTTTTGTAATCCGTCAGACAACATTCGCAACGAACTCGCAGATTCCCGTGTTACCTGTGGCAGATTGAACAACTGCTGCACATGGTGAGCGATCACTTATCTAGAATTATGATATCTTTTTTTTATTAAATCCAACACGATCGCATAATTTGCCGAAGTTATTTCAAAAGAATTTATATAATCTCTTGCTTTCCCGATCAAAGCAGATTGCAAATAATGAAACTTAGTCACACTGTCCAGCGAGTTGTTCTTATCTACCATAACAATGAATATGTCATAGAAATTTTGCCACTGTTCGTAGCTGCCATCAAAATTCGGAAGCGTTATAACTGGCAACCGCGCATTTACAATTCCCTGGCTACCACTACTACCACTCGCCGTCGTGTTAGTACTTGGTGCTGTCGATGTTGTCAACGGTTCACTAATACAAATAGACCTTTTTTTAGCCATACTTAAATTTGAAAAGAAAGCA